GGATATCGCTACTCGGATCAGAGAGGGTTGGTCGAAGCTGACAGTAGAGGAGCAAGTCGTCATTTACGAGTCGTTGTTCACGGCGGGAGGTGTGAACGCAGTAAAGCTGGGTGCGGAGCTTGCGGGTGATGAGCGCTTCCTCCAAGCCATCAAGTGTTTGGGTGATGTGGTCTTTGAGAAATGCTCTCGATATTCGCTTAGTTACTGGGTCAAGTGTTCCCGGCCGAGTGCGAATTTTTGCTTCATCCCCCCTCCTTCCCCTGCCATCCCTGTTTGCCCACCACCGTTTGCGTGCCCGCCAGCCTGTCCGCCACACCCTTTCTGCCCACCAGCATGTCCGCCACCGCCATGCCTCACACGCCTCCAGGAGCTCTCGATCGCTTACCTCAAGAAGCACGTGGTTTCTGCCGATTGCGAGCATATCGTGGAGATTCTGGCGACTCGAATTGCTCTCTCCCAGTGCGCCGCCCTTACCGACCAACAGAGACTTGTGGATCAGCTTTCCTATCTTGTTCAACCGAAGGCATACGCCTCGATTGCTGAGCTGTTCTGTGATGCTCGCCCGCCTGCGGGTCTCAAACTTCCCTGTGCCGTCTGCGCGGATCCGTGCACGCCGCCACCGGCACCGCTTCCCACTCAGGCATGTGTGCCCCCTCCCCCTGCCCCACCGGCGTTTGTTGAGCTTGACGCTCGGCAGAGCTACTTCGTGAGTAGGATTGTCAGCTACGTCAAATGCTCCACGGATGCCCCGAGGGTGAAGGATATGGCCACGAAGCTCGCTGGCTGTGCTGGCATCGGGCTCACTGCGCAGCAGGCAATCATCGACGAGATCGCTACCCTGGTGGAGGCGGACGGGTGGTTTGCCTTGAAGCTGATCTTTGCCAAGGAGGTGCCTGCGGGTTTGAAGTTCCCCGAGAAATGTGTTGCGCCTGCTGCAGCCCCTTCGGTTTGTCTTCGCCAGGCGTGCCTTACTGCCGTCCAAATCGCGACGATGGAGAAGATCTCGGACCTGGTGGAGAATATCTGCGATCGTGAACTTGTGCGAGGAATGCTGTTGAAGCTTGTGGAACCGTGTCCGTCAGACTTGGACCACAAGCAGAGCCTCGTCGATGAGGTCGTTAGATTGGTGAAGATCGCAGCAAGGCCGTGCCTTCCCGCGTTGTTCGTGCCAGAGCCGCCGAAGGGTTTGGTTTTCCCTGCGGGAACCTTCCAGAAGGATCCTTGCGAGCCCAAGGTAGGGGGCGGTGTTTCGCTGACGGTGCGACAGAAGAATGCGGTGGACTTGCTGGCGAGGTATGCGTTGGGGGTGGGCGAAGTAGAAAAAGTCCGTGACCTGGCCACGGTGATCGCGTGCAACAGCGACCTGACACGTGACGTGCAGCAGCAGATCATCGACAAGATCGCGACGCTGGTGGAGATCCGTGCGTACCCTGCTCTTCCCGAGTTGCTGAGCGTGGACGTGGCGATCTCCGCGCTGGTCTTCCCTCCTGGGACGTTTGTCTCCACGTACGAGCTGGCCACCGGCGAGGCGCTGAAGGACCTGAAGAGTGCGGAGGAGAGCCTCCGGGATCTCGTGTGCATGTTGGGAGTGGAGGGGTACGAGATCGGAATGAAGGTGAAGTCGCAGTGGGCGACCTTGGAAGTGGAAGAACGCAAGAGCATATACAAGTCGCTGTACACGAAGGGCGGGCTGGACGCCGTCAAGGCGGCCGCTGTGTTGGGCAGTGAGGTGAACTACGTGGAGTTGCTGGCCGCCGCCGCGGGATCGAGCGTCTGCTGCCCGGCCGTTCCTCCTGTTCCCGAGGCGGAGCTGCCCACGGCTGTGCGGAAGCTCCTGGATATCCTTGTTCTGCGGGCGGGCATCGCCGGCTATGATCTGGGTGTGAAGATCCTGAAGGAGTGGAAGTTTTTGAGCGCCGAGGAGCGTAAGAGTGTTTACACGGACCTCCTCCGCCTGGGTGGCGTTGAGGTTCTGGCGGCCGGCGCAAAACTCGCCCGGGATCGCGTATTTTTAGAGGAACTGGTCGCCGTGGGCACTAGTCTTTCGTCGAAGGCCAGCGTTGTTTGCGACACCTCGGCGGAGAAAGCCTCGCAGCAACAGCGGGATTTGCGACAGGTGGTGGTGYTGGCCGGCGCTGCTGGATATGAATTGTCCGTGAGGCTTCTGTCGGAGTCGCTCTCTGTCTCAGACAAGCGCGATATTTACTCAAAGCTCTTCGCAGAAGCGGGACTCGAGGCTGTTCGATTGGGCGTGTCCCTTGCAAGGGACACCGCTTTCGTGGAAGAATTGACGGTTATCGTCCAGGACCTCACTGTGTTCTTGTGTAAGGGAGGGTACTTAGACGAGTGCCCCGCTCCGGCTCTTTGCGCTCCGAAGCCTGAGCAGCCCGCACCTCCGGCCTGCCATCCCTGCGTAACTGAGTGTGTAACCATCGCCACGGAAGTGGGAAAGGCTGCTTTGAGAGATATTGTTTGCATCGCGGGCCTGCGGGGCTACGAGATTTCCGTCCGTTTGGCGAAGGAGTCGGCCACATTGTCGGCCACGACAAAATTGGAGCTATATGGTGAGTTGCTCCGCCAGGGTGGACTCGATGCGCTGAGGCTGGCAGCAGTGGTTGAGGGCAACCGTTGCTTCCTGGATGAGCTGAAAAAATTCGGTGAGGAAGATGTTCTTTCCCAAGTGCTGTCTGCAGGCAGTGATTCGGCGTGCGACAGACTCAGGGAGCTGATTGGCCTGGCCAGTGTCGAAGGGTACCTCCTGGGTGTGACTTTGGTGGAGAAGATGAGCATGCTCAGCTTGAAGGAGAGGTGGGAGATCTACGGCAACATCTATGCATTCGGTGGGCTGGGGGCGCTGAAGGTTGCAATTATTGCCTCCAAAGACAAGGAGGTGGCGGAATCTCTGAAGGAATTTGCTGACAAGGTGAAAGTGTCGATCGTGGAGCTCGTGCTTGAGACGGTCTGCSTTAGTTCTGCCCCGCAACACAAACCGGAGCCGCCGGCTTGCGCGGCCRCGTATGCCTGTTGTGCTCCGCCGGCCGTCGTCGCATCTCCTGCTTGCCTCTCAATTCCACAACGCGAGGCTCTGAACTCCGAACAGAAGAGAATAATCTTGGGGCTTTACTACCTGGCAGGCGAGGATGAGCGAGTTAAGATTTACGCAACGCAGCTTGCTGAGGAAGGAAAGGGGCTTAGCGAGGAGAGTAAGAGGAAGATTATCGGCCACATAATCTGTCGGACAGGGCTTGACGGCGTGGACCTTGTGCAAGCTCTAATCGAGGGGAAGTGTGTGGCTTTCCRGTGAATATTGTTAGGCCTCCACTCGAGGGGTCCATTGCAAATAAGYTGTCCAATGAGTTGCTAACGTTAGCACGTGCGGCTATGCTGGGTGTGACAGAGGATAGAGTGACCGGAATTAATGAAGTTTTGACGCCTGGGTTRAAGGACCAGCGAGTTACACARCCGAATCAGTCTTTGGTTTTAAACCGCGTCAATTTTTTGGTAAGAAATTGCGTTTTGAACCTATCTTGTTAGGCACTGATCTTATTTCGAAGGACTCCCTGACATTGGATGGACTGCTGTCGTCAACGACATCAGTCTGTCCCTCTGCAGGGGAATTACTTGGACGAATTTGCCCTTCCGGAGGTTTGCTTGCCGAAGCCTGAGAAGCCCTCCTCTCCTAGCAAGCCTTGGCGTCTAAGATCACGGGTTGTGGCTACATCCACAAGGCACAGAAAGACAATTTAGCAAGCCTTATTTCTGTACGACTCACGCATATCGTTTTCAGAATGGAGTGCGAGCCGCCTCTGAAGATCTCACTACTCCTCAAGGGCTGGCACCAAATTTATTCCAGAATGGCCCCTCTGAAGACCTCTCCCACATACCCTCAACCCGTGTCTTCCTTTTTTAATGATTTTTACCCTCGATTCTCTGGACCCGTGTCGAAAACCGTAATCCTGTGAAGTAGACCGCAGGCGCACTCAGTTCCGGTTGGCGGCCACAGTAGGGAGAGTGTCAGTGTCAGTTACCAAAAAGAAATAGGGGTTCCTCTCGGTCGTTTTGGGCCGAATTCGGACCGGCTCCTAGGTCTGTGAAGTGGAAGTTAGGTGTACTTCAGGAATAGGTAGTAGTAGTAGACTGAAGTAGGAGGGGAGTTGGGTATGCATCTGGTAGTAGTCGGCTTAGACACTCGTGGGTTCTTGAGACTCAGAAGCGAAACCGGCTGATGCTGCCGGGATAACTCCGGGGTGAATTGTGAGGTCCCCGGCCTCGTTTCAAGTGACGTTTTGAAATGGTATTGAATGTGTAATGTGTTGTTAAAATTGAGCAAGCCGAATACTAGCATCTGACGTTTTTTTTTTCCTTTTTTTTTTAGTTTGTCTTGTCGTAAATCTTTCATCATCTTTCAAATTCTTTCAATTCACCTTCACGACCTGTCTATGTACCACTACTCCTAAGGCTTATACAGGGGACTCCTTTGAACATAGCTTTGTAGTCTCCCTCCAGCCATCAGAGGGAACGAATATTGTCCCCTGCCCGAGGATGGGGTAAGGCTCCGTCTACTGCGGAGATCCAGCATTTTTCCAGCAGAAACAGAATTGCAGCAGTGTCGAAGGGCCCACACATCGCATACAACCCACTCACACTCACACGAACCTTGCTAGCACTGATCAGAGGTATACACCCGTGTTGGCCAAGGACCTTGCTAATACTGATCAGAGTTACACTCACACCTGTGTTGGCCAAGGACCTTGCTAATACTGATCAGAGGTATACACCTGTGTTGGCCAAGGACCTGATCAGAGGTA